TTTGCTTCAGAAAACTTGTAATATGCTTTATAAGGTTCTAGTCTACTTTAAGAAACTTGTGGTATGCTTTAATAAACGTGTGATTTGCTTTATAAGGTTTATGGAATGCTTCATGGAACTTGTGGTCAGCTTTAAGAGGTTTATTCTCTACTTCAGGGAACTTGTGGTTTGCTTTATAAGGTTTCTGGTTTGCTTTAGTGAACTTGTGGTCTGCTTTGTGAGGTTTTTTGTATGCTTTAGGAAACTTGTGTTATGCTTCGAGGTTAATGGTTTGCTTTATGAATTTTGTGATAGCTATGTTCCAAGCATCTTCATGAGCTTTTTGGTCTGCTTTATACTATTTGTGGTGTGGGTTGATGTAAATTTGGTCTGTATTTTGTGGTCTGCTTCATGATACTTGTGGTGAGGGTGGATGGAGCAGCACCACACGTGTGTGTTTCCTCTATTTTTTAATGACAAGCGTTGCCTTCCCTTTTACAATCTGCAGTAATTATGGTTAACCCCTTGAAATAAAAAAATAATCAAAACGAAATGTTCATATAGGTGTAGCTAGTGTTAGGGGCATGATAGTGTGACTACCCACAAGGGGGTCTGGTTTTTTATGCCCACTCTAGCAGACGTCCATTCCTTACTATATCCGACGGCTAGGATTAATGGACGGGATAATTGGGTTATTTTTAATTATGTAAATGGGGGAAGTTCCCATAATAATTAGGTTTGCATTGGGAATGAGCAATCATGCTGGATGAGGAAAGCGTCATTCGCTCTCCCATATTCCTCATATTTCCTCTCGAAAACATAGCAACTCCACCATGTCCTCTGCAGAACTCGACGGTGGCCGTAAACCATTGGCTTCATCACTCCAAGGCGGCCGGAAACCATCTGGTGCAAACAATGTAGTCAAAAGCGCGTTTCTACGTAGAAGCGTTTTGGTGATCTAGAAGCATAAAACCATAAGTTTTTAAGCTTTAAAGCATAGTTTTTAACTACATTAGTTATAAAAACGGAGATTATGCGTAAAAGTATTTTGGTGACCTAGAAATGTAAAACCGTAAGTTTATAAGATTTAAAGCGCGATTTTGACTACATTGGGTGCAAAGATGGATGTTGCACCGCGGGATGGATGGAATAGGTGTTGCTATCCATAATTCTGCCGATAACTGTTGCTTAGAGTTTGACCAAAATATAGACTACACTACTAGCAACAACGATAATCTCTTCAACGCTAGTCAGTTCAACCACGACTCGATCAATGGTCGGACGCTCAACAAGCCAACGATGTTGTCGTTAACCATGAGCATATTGCAGCGGACGATTCCATCTACAATGTCGATCATATGGCATACGGTGGCATTGTCGTGAACACGTAACACTGATCTTGTACATATATCGTTGAACTTATACTTGTATCCCTAAAGTTGTACATGTACCACTGACCTGATACAAGTACCAGTACAACTATTCAAGTCATACTTTCCATACCAAAATATGACCACCACTTGTAGTGTTAGATATACTTATTTGTGTTCAATATAGAATAACAAAATTCGCTCGATATATTTATTTAGTTTTGAAAGCCTAAATTTATGCGATGAAACAAATTGCATAAAACTTTAAGCCTATTTAAAATCCTTGAGCATTTACCACATTCGTTTCCTCTAAGGGTATACATGAGTCAGGTGGGCTAAACTCACCCTACACATACATTTCGATTTTGCAAATTTTAAATTCAAATTCACCCAAAAATTAGAATGCTATTGTTTGTTTGTGATCGAGTTGGGTCGGGTGGGCTAAAATTCTAAGTAAAAGTCCAATCCAATACTAAAAAGTTTGTATAGCTAATTAAAATTTCAAACAAATAAACCAAAGCAATTTACATATAAAATGCATAGAAGTTGTTTGATTCTTGAAGAAGTGCAATTGACCAAAATAAGCTAAAGACATTAATCATTATACATTCACGCATCCATAATATGTTATTCTTCTAAAGCTGTATACACAAAAAAGTGAACCATAGTCTATATTAAATACGTCTAATATGACAATATATCTTAATTCTCTTACCAATATATATGCTGCTATACGAGATATATACATTTTAGATACAAACACTTAAAACTAACATGGATTAGGTCGGGTATCTAAGGGTTGTATAATCCATAACTTGCAACTAACCAAGAGTGGGCAGTTCCACAAAAAATGATGAACTTATATTTATAACTTTAGATATATAACAGGTTCAAATAATCGTAAGAAATTGATGAGCTAGTGAAAAAAATGATGAAAACAAATTTGCATAAAATGTATTTATATGTTTATTTGCTTCTTCTGAACAAGATTCGTGTGCTAGTTTGGACAAGGAATGTGTTTTAGAATGTGTTCACAAAATGAAATCTTGTCGCGATTCATTATAGGCGATGTGTTGAACCATTATTATCTAACTATGTGAATCTTAAGTTTTTTTCATTCATATAAGGTTTAATACACTTGCATAGCCATAACTATGCACGTTTTGACAAATATAGCCAAAATTTGAATAATACACTAAAATAGTCATTCCGTCCATAAGTTTAACGGAACAGTGACACATGCTGACTGGACTAACGTCACTTGCTGATGTGGCTGACTTTTCATCTTGATCTTGCCAAGTTGGAAATGACTTATTTATTATAATATTAAATGGAAAAAGAAAAAATAATTAAAAATAATAAAAGAGAAATGTATATCATCGCCGCTTGACCTTCCCTGCTGCTGCCATGGCATTCCTTCCCGTCGCCGCTTCATCTACTCTTCTCCACAAATCTCCAATATACAAAACCAATGGAACAAAAATTCCACAATTCAAAAATCCCAGGCAGCTCGGGGAAGGCGAGAACAGAGGTATAAGGGGTTGGTGGTGGAAGGAGGAGGAGCGGGTCGCCGATTCTCAGATCGCTCTCCCTCTCTCCACCTATACATCTCCCTCTCCGCGACTAACCTCCTCGCATCTCTCGGTGGATTGTGTTATGGAATCAATGACCCTAGTCTCCAATTGGTTGCGGTGGTTGTTCTAGGGAGCAAGTGATGGCGGTGGTTCCGTGAGAGCTCGAAGCCAATGTGAGAAAGCGGGTCAGTAAGAACCATATACTCATACTCTTCTTCTCCCTTTCAATCGACCAAACACAGCGGAGAGGGAAGGAATTGACAAGAGCTGCTCGTTTCAGTTTTCGTTGCAGCTGCTCTCCTATTCTAGATCTGGTCAAAATCGCACACAACCTCCAAGCTCTATGGATCTGTAAAAGCGACAGAGGAGTGATGGTGTTGCGGGTACAGAAGCGGGAGGCGAGAGTGATGGAGGTGATTCGAACGAGGATGTCGATGGAGACTCCAATTCTGCATCCTTACCCGCCGATGTTCTGGGAACAGAGGAATCCACCGCCATAGCGGTGCCCACAACTTCACGGCAGATCTCCAAATCCCCCTCCTTCTTCTGACTTCAGATCTGAACTCCCAAATTAATTTGAATCCCAGAAACCCTAGTTGGAAAAGAAGGAAGAAGGGGAAGGAAGAGACCGGGAGGTGACCAACACCCGATTCCTCGGACAGTCGATGACCAACTCGAGCGATGAGTTGCCTGTCAGGTCGCCAACGCCGCCTTCGACAATGGAGACGATGACCGGCTGACGGGGATCCCACTTGGTGCACTCGAGTCATCCTAGCTCTGGTAGTACTGGAAGACGTGGGTGGAGGGTGGGAGAGATCGAGGGAGATGAATAGGCAATGGGGATGGACGAGATTAGGAGGAGGATGAGAAGGGATTTGAGGTGCAGACGGCAAAAATGGCCATCGCAGATGGAGGTTGGCAGTGGTTGTTGGGGGATTGCGTTTTGGATTTTATTTTCATTTTTCTTTTAGTTTAATTCAAAAGTTTTCTTCCATTTTAATTAAAAATATGATCTGGCAGTGATGTGGCATGTGACCTGGTATGTTGGAGCTGATGTGGGAGATGAGGTGGCATCCACATCAGCTTCGTGTTAACGGTGTTAAATTTTTTAACGAAAATGGCTAATTTTGTCAAACGAGTTTCCTAAAGGTGGCTACAACTGTGTATTTTTCGAAAAGTGGCTATTATTGTCAAAATCGCGAAAGTTATGGCTATGCAAGTGTATTAAACCTTCATATAATGGCAAATCTTAAGTTTATATTATTGACTTGTATATTTTATTTTGAATTGACTTTTATGATAGAAAGAAAAACACACCCTTGAACAATTTTCTGGCTCCACCACTGTTTGTTAACCCTTAGTTTTCTAATCCATGCACCTTCTTCTCTTCCCACGAGCAAGAGAGAAGAGAGTGAAGAAGAAAAGGGGATTCCTAAATATAAAAAAGAGTAAATACAATATAATAGTCAAACTTTTTATTTTAAACAAAATAATAATCAAATCTTTCAAAAAATAATATAATAGCCAAACAGTTAACTTTTTATCCAGTCAAACGTTAGTTGACTCTAACTTGACAAATTATGCTGATATAGACGCAAACATGGATGTTGCATTTTTACATGTAAGCAAATTAAAAGTGTAGAATTAACCAAAACAAATCAATAGCAAAACCTTTCATCTTGTGCAAATAATAGTCAAACCTTTTGAATCACAATTTAATACCCAAACCTTTTGAAATATAATTTAATAGCCTAAGTAACTTTTGTTAATATTGGCATCAACTATATGAAAATAGCTATTAAATTGTTTCTCGAAAAGTTTGACTATTATTTTGTTGAAAATAAAATATTTGACTATCATATTGTATTTACCCCAAGATAAAAGGTATGACCATTAAATCGTTCTGGCTCTACAGTTTTGCTGACAGTCAAAATGCAACATCCACGTCAGGGTTTATGTCGGTATAATTTGCCACATCAGAGTTAATAACATTTGACTCGTTGGAAAGTTTTCGGTTTAGCTATTATATTATCGTTTGAAAAGATTGGCTATTAGTTAGTTTGTTTATAATGAAAGATTTCACTGTTATATTGTATTTTATAAGGAGAAAAAAAAATGAAGCTGAACTTTGCTGCTTTAGTTTTTGTTAAAATACCGCCATGCATTTCCAGTCCACCGAACCACCTTTACTCTCTTGTCTCTTTCCAATCAGTACACAAGTTCCGCTGCAAATTACACAATCAAGTCACCCATGCCATCATGGCCGTGACCGACCGACCATGCAAGATCGATCAGCCTCATTTTCCTTCCTTCCTTCCTTTTTTTTTTTTTTTTTTGTTCTTGGGACGCCATCGCTCACTTTGAGATAGAGGGCGATGACGACAAGGCGTCGTTACAATGCATTATGGGACCCCCACGAGGCGGAGAGCCGTTCCTACTAAGCAGCTCACGCGCCAACGACTGGAGATCGCCGCCGCCAGTGCCGTACGACGATGATGCCATGGCTCCTCCGTCGCCGCCGCCGCTTCCTCCGAACTGGTGATGGCGTGGCTCCAATTGCTGCGCGGCACGTTGCTGCTGCTGCTGCATGGCCGCCCACGAGGATTGCACCAGAGGATCAAATAGCGAGGAGAGGTCGTATCTGGCGGGGATTGAAGCGGCCGGGATATCGGCGATCGTTAGAGCCGGCGCTGCGAGGAGTGCGGCCGGCGGTGGAGGCGGGACCTCTACCGTTCCCATGTGGGCTTGCAAGTAGGACAGCTCCGCTTGCAGATTCACTACCTACATATATATATATATTCATTTTGCAACTCAGCGTCAGAGGAGCTTAGCATTATATCCTTCCTTCTAAAACAAACAAAAGAATTAGCACTTTAAATGGTATTATTATTATTATATTTGGTTATGATTAACTGATATTTCTGTTTTAGTCTGTTGATGCCAAGTCCGGACGATATAAGCAAAGCAAAATCCTGAGGTTTAACAAAAATACTACAGGCCGCTCGGGAATTCCAAAAAATGTCAGTTACGGAGAGGTGAAGTTACGACTTACGGCATCAAGCAACAATCCCATTATTTTTAGAAATTAGTGCTGGCTATTTGGGTTTATTCGAAATCAGACTGTATAACCCAGACCGGATCGGATTTGGATAACAAACAATCCAATATTCGGGCTTAGATTTGAGGTAAAAAACCATTTGGGATCGGATCGAAAACCGGATAAAGACCAGATAAGAGAGCCCAACACCCAAAATTTAACTAACTCCTCACCCTTTGAGTCCTCAGGCCACTCAAATTCCCTCACAAGCTCAATATAAAATCAAGATCGAATTGGGACCGGACCGGATCAAAACCAGACCAGATCAAGACTGGACTGTATCCAATCCAAACTTTGATTCTTATGTTCCCGAAAATACCGAACTAGGACCGAATCAATTCGAGCCAATTTAACTGGACCGGACTGTACCGCCACTACTATTAGAAATAAAGGAGCAAGTACATCTGCCTGCCTGGTACGTATACGTGTACCTTATATTGCGGGCATGGGACAAATCTGTATTGGAAACCAAAAAAGGAAGACTAACAAGCTGGCCAGCTAGCAGGTTTCAAATTACATGTATGAATTGTTATATATGAAGAATGGAAAGTAAAGCAAAGGAAAATTACAAGGTAGTTGCTAATGGGGAAGGGATCACATAGAAGATTGGCAGATTAATTAGGAGTAAAGACAAAAACATTGGGGGGTTACGTATGTATTTGGTTTGGAGTCAAACAAATGGGTTGAAGAGTGTGCGATTGAATATATGTATATATATAGAACATGGTTGTTGCTGGCAAGTTAAGGTTTCTTTTGACCAATTCAGGAACATTAATTAGAATTTTTGTTGTTAGCATTCATTTTTCATTAATGTATTATTGTTAAGGAATTCCTTTGGAGTAACGGGACTGTAGATAGATCATATTACATTACTTATAATATAAAAGTTATAATGCAATGACTTACTTAATCGTATGTGTAGCTTATGTAATAGGTGATTTTTAGATAAGATTACATGGCTATAATAGTTACTGCATAATATTTACTTACATATGTTTATCTTACGTAATAGTTATATATACACACTATTTTGTTACATAAACAACAAAGCTACTGCGAAAGTCTTGCACAACAATTTTGTTAACCGTTATGTAGGAAGTTTTGTAATCGATATGTATTCGATACTCCTTTCATTTAATGACATTTCGAATCGGCATTACATAAATTGTTAAACTAGTACGAAAATTTTACATAATACGTCTAATTTAACCACTACGTAACATATAATTATCATTCTATAATCTTTGTGTAATTCAAATTTATCTTCCATAAAAGCTGTAAAATTACATTACTTTAATGGTGTAGATTTATTCCAAAAATCAAATAAGCTGACTTGAAAAATAACCTAGTTACTCTAGGAGCTCGTTCACTACTACTACTACTACTATTATTATTATTATTATTATTATTATTATTATTATTATTATTATTATATAAAATTAATTAAAGGAAAAGTGAGGGCCGTGGTGCCGTGACTGCGGTTGACAGGACAAGATCCCGATAAACAGTTTGGGTGTCTGGTGTTTTGCGCCCCCGCACACAAACCACAATTCGGAGGAAAAGGGAATTAATGATCGATGATCATCATCTAATTACATCTTATTATTATTTTAATAGAATTGATTTTTGGCATTCGATTGAGTTCTCTGTCTGCTCATACTAGCTATTACTGCCGTTTCCACTTAATTAGGGTTTAAGGGGGTGGTGTGTACACATATTCTATTCTAGTATCGTAATTCCGTACTTTGCAAATGCCGCCAGCTACCCTGCTTTAATTCAAGTGATGATTACCAATTCTTCAATTTTGGGGTTTTTTCTTCTTCTCCATATTAATTAGGATTAGGCTGCATAAGTCGAGACCAAAACAACTCTAATTAAAACAAAACAACCGACCATCTCCTCAATAACTGCGAAATTGCTCACCCCTCCCGCAGAAAGCTTAGCTGAGCTGAATAAACTGCCTCAGTCTACGTTTTTTTTTTCTTCCTTGATTTCAGTAGCTTCCTATAGAGGTTGCTGAATGAATGAATAAGACGTTTCAAACTCCTTATGTATATAAAACCATGTCTCCTTGACCATCCCCTAGCTTAGCTACATACTTGTACTGTTCCCCCGCCACACAGTCGCAGCAGCTGGCACTGAATGCCACAAAATCAACACCCAAACTCCAGCAGCAGAGACTTGTTACGTTGAGCTGACAGTTACTCTGTCTTTTTTCTTTTCCTTTCTTTCTTGGGATGGGAAGGAGAACGTTACGTTTTCTCAACGGATGAAAGGCGATGAGGCGAAAGAAAGAAACCGTCATAAAAAAAACCCAACAGAAAGAAAGAAAGCCAAAGCAAGCAAGGAATTGATGACTGATTTTGTCCGCTTTCCTTTTCCCCCCCAACTCTGACACAGAGCTTAATGGAGACGAGGATCCCTAGCGACCAGCCAGCTCCGTATTCCGTAACCTAACTCTATACCTAGATATGCTTAATTAGCTACTAATCACGCCACAACCCAAATGATTACCATTAACACAAGTGCTTGTTTGTATAATGAATGGAAGTATAGGTTAAGTTGATTAATTTTTACCTGTTGCTGGAGGGCGAAGATGTGGGCGACGCAGCCGTAGACGGGGTCCCTGAGGCGGGCCTGGGCCTCGTAGCAGATGGTAATGACGGCCTCGTGGCGCTTGTGGAGCGGGATGTGGAGGAGCAGCTTCGACACGTTGCTGGCCCCGAACACCTTGTGCACCGCCGCGAAATGCGCCGCCCCTTGCTCCGACTCGAAGTAGGGCGCGAAGATGCATCCCTGGACGCACTTCCTCCTCAGAAACTTGCACGCTCCACACGGCCCGCCCAAGCTCCCTCCCCCTCCGCCGCCGCCGCCGCTCCCTCCTCCTCCGCCGCCGCGGCTGCTTCCCGCCGCACCGCTCATGCTACCTAAACAGCAGCTCGCTCGATTGATCTACCAGATGAGCTCTCGCGCATGCACGCACCGCAACTCTCGCATATAATTGGTAAGCCGGGAGGAGGAGGAGGAGGAAGTGGGATCGTTGCTTTCTAGGGTTTGATTCTGGTTGGGGTTTGTGTGTGTAGAGAGATAGAGAGAGAGAGAGAGAGAGAGAGCAGGGGAGAGTGTTCCTCTTCTGTTTGTCCTGGTTTATGTGTTCCGTATTTTTTTTATTTTTTGGGTAAAAAAAAAAAAAAAAGAGGGATGGGGAAAGAAAGAGGGATTTAAAACGGTAGGGGGAGGGATGGGGATGAAAAGCCTTTAAAGCCACGCGAGAGAGCAAACCAAACCACGTTTCTATATATCTATCTATCTCTTCCCTCGTTGGACTAACCCCATTTAGCTAGTTAGCTGCTTGCGTGAAGCAAACCCACCAATATTACCTCCTTCCTTCCTTGTGCTAATTCCTAATCTTTCCCCCAACTGCCCTTAAAAAACCACACAAAAAAAAAAAAACATTCCCTTTTATCTCTTTCATTTCTCGTTACACAAATATATATGACAGTAACTTGAGCTCTCGATTTCACTTTTTTTTTCAGAATGGACTTGCAGTTTGCTTCTATCGTGTGGCGTGGGAGAAATAATATTGGCTTCCTCTCCGGCTAACTATCCTTTTCATCATTGTCGCCTTTGGGTTTCTTGTGTGCATGAAAAAAAAAGGTGTTTTCCTTTTCTCATTTTTTGCTACCTTTAACCTAGGGGGTGTGGTTAAACGAAAACAATCGGTAAGTATAGCCACAACTTTCATGTTTTTGTGACAGATATAGTCGTAATTTTTGAAATACACGAAATAGTCAGAATTTTTATGGTTGTTTGACAAATCTAGCCATTTTCGTTACAAATTTAACGGTGTTAGAGATTCCGTTAGTTAGGTTAACGATACGCTGATTAGGATGCCAAATGACGCACACGTCAGCAACAACTGAGTCTCATTTGCCACGTCCTAATTTAGTTTAAAAATATTTTACTCAAAATACTCTTTCCATAGCCACACTTTTCACGTTTGTGACAATTATAGCCACAACTTTTGAAATACAAGAAATAGCCATCATTTTGATGATTTTTTTATGTAAATCTAGCTATTTCCGCTACAAACTTTCAGAATATACGAAACAACCGCGACCATATTCTCGATTTATTCTCGCTACTTTGTTTGAGATGGAATGCAACGAATCGGCCAATGGATAGTAACGAATCGAGCTTCACCGGAAACAAGAACAACCGTACCAACAACAGTTACGAGGAATTAGGGGGCAAAATGCACTAAGAGCCGCCATATCCTCCCTTCCCGACCCATCGTTCTCTGTCGCTACCGGAGACATTAGGGATGGCAATGGGTTGGGTCGGGTTTTGCCAAACCGAAATCCAAACCCATGGGTTTATCCCTGAAAAAAAATCCGGGGTAAAACCCACTGGGTTTAAAAAACTCAAACTCAACCCAACCCGCTGGGTATCTGCGGGTTCATGGGTACCCGTGGGTTTTTGCCGTAAAAAATTTACAATAAAAAGTTCCTATCAAAATAAAAGTCAAATATCAATCTCTCAATACAAATTATCAATATATAAAACACCATTCTAGAAAATTCAAGCAAATCACAAATTAACTATACATAAACAACATGATTAATTGAAAGCTTCTTCCTCCCTATAAATTAAGCTTTTTCACTCTCCACTCGATAATATCAACCTCATTCTACACAATTAGAAAGAGAAAATTAGATATGTCTCCACAAACATAAAGAATATTAGTTGCTTAGAATATTAAATATATCAGGAAAATTAATTATATGGGTGTGGGCGGGTATCCATGGGGCGGGTATACCTAAACCCAAACCCAACCCAGCCTGGCGAATAGTGAACGGGTTTTAAACTCAAACTCGACCTAAAACCCGTCAACATGGATTTTACCCGCGTTGACCGGGTTGGGTCGGGTCGGGTACCCGTGGGTTCGGGTTTTGTTGTCATCCCTAGAGACACTGTCTCCTCTTTCATTGCCACCGCCAGGGGCGTAGCCCAGATTTTGTCCAGGGTGGGTCCATTTAGAAAAGAACTTACGATAAAGTAGTTTTGTTAGCTTTTTAAACCATTAATGATATAATTTTGTATTTAAAAAATATGAAAAATTAATATAAATGTCGAAACTATCAAGAATATCACTTCATATGTATCAAACAATTATTTATTATCTAGTTAGACATTTGATTTGGAATGATGTTCTTTGTAAATAGCGTTTAGCATCAATAACTCGAGTTCCTGGGTTAGATTTAATAATGAATCTTATAGTATTTAATATTTACTAACACTTTCCTGCTAACCAAAACCAACTTATATGTGCTTAAAATTTTCGCAAATCTGAATATCATGTGCTTAACAAATTAGGTTGCCAAGATTCGGAACACATGATCTCCCGGTCAACCAATCTCAATTAGAAGTGCCCTAAATTTTATTCTTAATTAACTATTATACTAATTTATTCATTTTCTTACTTTGGAGTCACCCGTAATACTCTGCCTAATTGAAATAAAATTATTATACAAACTAGCTATAATTTGGGGGAGTGTTTTTAAGATATTGAATAAGTACATCTTTAATTTTTGGCGGATCATATACACCATTGCCATTTGTACGTAGATCATTATAAAACATTGAATATGCCAATACACAACGTATAAATCATATATCAAATATTTCATAAGTCAACCATTCTCATTTAAATACGTATTATTTATCATAGTCGATTAATTATTACACCTAATATATCATTTTATCTCTCGAGCACTTCTCCCTCCGCCCCTAGCCGCCGCCAGTGCCTTCTTCGCGACCATCGTCAACTTCTTCCCATCAGCCTTCTTGCCCTCTTTCTCGTCATTTTTCAGTGACCCGGCAAGCATTCGAGGCCTTCTTCTACAATCTAACGGTTGAGGATCTAAATCGGCAATTCAGGAAATAAGGCCTGCTTCTCCAGTCATACTGTTAAGTGACACCGTTAAAGGGATGTAGTGGTTATTTTGTGTATTACAAAAGTTGTGACTATAACTATCACAAACGTCAAAGTTGTGGTCGTAACTGTTACAAACGTCAAAGTTGTGGCCATAACTGTCATAAATGTGAAAGTTGTGGCTATGAGATTGTATTTTGTTTTTTTTCTAATCCATATGGATCGCCAACTCAACTCTTCCGTCAGTCCATTCATACTGTTAAGTGACACACTTAAAGGAATGGACGGAAGTGACTATTTTGTGTATTTTGAAAGTTGTGCCTATAACTGTCACACAAGTGAAAGTTGTGACTATGAAAGTGATTTTCAGTTTTCATGTTTATCCTTCATCTGCGCCTTTCCGAGTTTCCAAGTCATGTCTCTATAAACACACATCTCAATCTGCTCTTCATTGATTATTAAATACTCCTAGGGTCCGTTTGGATGAGGGTTTTTTCGTGAGAGATTTTAAAACAATCTCTCACAATTAGGAATTTTAATAAAATCCCTCGTTTTCTAAAGACATCAACGATGAGGGATTTTAATCATTAGAGATTTCAAAAATCCTTAAACGTAGATTTTCAAAATAGCTGATGACCATCAACTGTTTAGAAATCTGTCGTTTTTATATTTTAATTCCCAACCGCTAACCTTTCTTTCTTCCATCTGTCGTTCGCCGTCGATCCCATTCAACACCAACATTGCCCAATATTGTCGGTTGCTGCTTCCAGTCGGCACCCAATTTTCCCATCCCATCGAGATATTCCTCTCACCCAAACCTGGTCTCCCGTCGTCGATTCTTTCCCGCCGCTCCTGAAAATTTGAACACCGCCCAAATTGGCATCTCGCCTTCATTCCTTCCTACCGCCACCTGGAATTTGAACGTCGACACCAAACCTAGTCTCTCGTCATCAACTTCTTTCCACCACCGCTTCGGGTTTGAATGCCGCCCCAATAACTACGGCGTTCTTCAATTAAACCTCAAAATAATCGCAATTATGCTTGGTGTGGGGGACGATTGTTAATTGATGTTTCTGAAGGGGAGGGATGAGAGGTGGGGACAAAAACAAAAGTGGAAGGGCAACTATGATCTTGCGGGGGCAAAAATTAAATTGGTATATGTGCTTGCTAAGAAATAACGGGGAGCGATGATCGGTTGGTTGAAGAAGACGATTTCTAGTTTTGCACTGTTTGGTCTTGCAGATAACGAAGAAGACCAAGAACAAATGGGGGCAAAATTGTCTTCCTTCTTTCTAGCGTGAAAATCCTCGTTAGTTTCCAAACAAGTTAATTTGGACAAATCCTGCCAATAAAATTTCTGGTTTTTTAAATGAGTGATTTGAATCTCATATTAAAAACCCTCATCCAAACGATCCCCTAATGTGTACTACTGCAAACCGGATTGGGTTCCATGTATACCCCCAATACCCCATGATTATGTAACATTTCTTAATCCAATTCCATTTTTAATTTGAGAAAAAAAGATTTAAGGAGGATTTTACTTTGGTAATAATTTGATTGAAATTATTACCATATTTATACTTTTCACATGTTCATTTAAAATTATTTTTATTGTTCACAATTCATTTCTTTTAATTATACTAAAAAATTACAAGCATTGTGTACTTGATATGACATTAACTATCACAAAAAAGAGGGTTAGTTAAATATTATAAGTTAGGCGATATAGTTATGATAGTTTGGATGAGATTGTTGCATATGACAGAAACTTCACTAAAAAGTAATATATAACTCATTTATATACATCTATCATAAAAATCACATAGTGTAAACTACAATACGCCAACTTTCTTAATTAAATTTATCGTATTAATGTATTATACATATTTCGATAATTGTTTGGGATCAAAAGCATCAGACCCTCGGTCCAAATAAGAGTAGCAGTTACTCGAGCTAGCTGGAAATATTCTACAACCCTTAAACCACATTGGTCAAACAATCCACTCACTATATTCACCAAAGACCTAATGTCCTAGACAAAGATAAAGACGCTCTAGGGTTGCCTCAAGGCTAGACCCGCCCGAAAAATGGAGTAACCCATTCCTCCTGAGTCCTGACCCTAGGAACCAAGGGCATAACTCCTCAGTTAGCGTTAATGGGCAGACGTCCAGAGGGTATATCTTGATTTGCATAGCAGATAAGAGCACCTGGTGACAACTAGCCCATGGCTCTAGACTCATCTACGTAGTAAATTTCACAATGGCATAAGCCACCTTAGAGAAACAAGCTTCACATATCACAACTCCATGTGAGGATGGTCCCCATATGCAGAAGGAATTATGACCTCTATAGTGTTAGTTAGAATTTGAGAATCACGAGTGACAAACGGAGGGCATATTCGTCCTCATATTAGCCCAACGGTCCAGATCCAGCTGATCAGACAAGCTATAACCCTTAAGGCCTCCCACTTTCCTATAAATATTGGGCCTCCAACCTCATTCGAGGTAACGAATTCTCTCTCATTTTATTCACATACCTTATGTATCATCCATATCTAATAGGTTTTCCCTCACTGACTTGATCGTCAGATGACATATCAAAGGTGAGTCACACACCTTTTCAATCAAGCATTTTTCCCCCTCCAACGATGGTACTGAATCTAAATTTTATTGCTTTGGTTCTTTTTATAACGTCAATCCAAAAGATCTTACCTTGAACAATTGGCGCTCAGCGTGGGGCCTTGCTGGGACAAAAGTCCTTCTAAAATACACTTGCCAAACCCAAGAAAGCTTTCCTTCTTCATTCAGAAACATCTTCCACATGATGTTGGATACCAATAACCAAGTAAGAGGTAAAGCACAGGTGGACAAGAATCAGTCCTCGTTAGGCGTGGAATTGCTCTTGCCCAAAATCCAATGTGTTAGAAACAAAGTTTCTAACGAGATTGATAATTGGGTATTTAGGGATTTGAAGAATAGAATTAGGGATTAAGAAGTAGAATTTGGGGAATAACGAGAAAGAATGGCCGACGGCCGGATTATGGATAGAGGAGAAATTGAGAGGAGTTGGCAGGGAATAGGGTTTAGGGAGATATACTTTGCTTAATTCTTTTCTGATTTATCTGAATGGAAACCCAAAGTACATTTATATAGGAAATACCGGAAAACCCTAATAATAACCTAATTCTATTAAATGCCTACTAACCTTATTGATAATTATCCTAATAATAATTATATTAATAAATAGAGAAACCCTACAGAAATAGGTTTCTAACATCTCTTCCCCCTTCAGACCAACCTTGCCCTCAAGGTTGAACCACTTGACCCACTCTTCCTTCCTTCTCGCGCACTCTGCACCCTGACTCCATTTTTTGCGCTTCCGTTTCTTCCAATCATGCTCCACCTCCGATCTTGGACTTCTTCCACCAACCTTCTTTTGTTGGTCTTTTTCTTCCACCTTCACTTCCATGAGCCCACTATTCGCTCCTTTGACAAATTCGTACTTCAACAGCTCTGCTTTTGTTGGCTTCACAATCCCACAACTCAAGGAACCCAACGATTGATTCTTGTTCAAGAACCCATCCTTGAGTATCATTCCATCAAGGCCTTCATACATTTTTCGTGGAACAAGCCCATAACTCTGATTTGTTGCATCTTTCGTTAATTTTTCCTCCAAGCCCACCTTCATCAAAACACAATTTCTATTGGGCTCAAGTTCTCCTTGCAGACGTGGCCCAATATTATTATTCTTCAGCCCATAGACTGGTACAAGAGTTTGGCTCCTTTCAAGCTTCAGCCCAAACTCCAGGTTCTGGTCGGCCCCCTTCTTTCTCAGTTGTGGCCCGCGACTAGACCCAAACGAAGCCCAAGTAACAAAATTTTCACCCCCAATTAACTGGTTTAGTTGGCCTAGACCATGAATCAAGCTCTTGTAGCCCATCTCCATTACCTGGCCCACTCGCCCCGACCCATCAGGACTCTCGATCCAAATAGCATCGCGGCCCCCCAGATTTGGCTGTTGGGTGGCCCATCCTAGGGTTGACTGCTGGTTCGCGAACAGAGATGCAACAACGCCGCCCTCCCTCTTCCTCACCTTTTCCGGCCAGTCTTCCACCGGCGGTGAGCCCGCTTCCGCCCTCGTCGGCTCCTCGTTCTCCAGCGGCGACGAGCAGAGCACCAAGCAGTGGGGAGCGAAACCTGTCTCTATCTTCGATTCCCTAGCCGTCGACGAGTCCTCCACCAGCTTAGTCCCCGACTTCGCCTCACCTCCACTCGGCAACGCGTCGGAACCCACCACCAATTGTCGTGTTCCGCGTGCGATTCGACACTCCGACATCTCTGCGTCTTGTAAATTGTCGATTCCGGCTCCGGGATCCTCCATTCCCCACGTCGCGACCACTCTGCGCGCTCCTTGCGCGATCGGCGACGCCGGCGAGTCCTCCCCGTGGTCTTTCACCTTCGTCTCCATCCCAGCTTCCACTGACGAACGGATCTCCTTGACTGTGGCTGGCGGCGACATGGGCGAGCCCCCAATGTCGTTCGATGTAGTAGGGATGGCCGACGCGGCGCCCCAAACTCCTCTTCGTCCGTCCTCGGCTTCCTCCAAAATCGCCAGCTCACTACTTGACCCGGCGTTGGTCTCCTCTCCAAACCCTCGGTTTGGGTTTCTTCTTCAGAGACGTTGGTCTTCTCACTGTCGGGAACCAAGATGGAAGAAGCAAGATCACATTCTTCTTCACTCACGACCGCGAAAGTACCATCGGCAGCCTTGGATGATTGTTCAACCGCTGCAAACAGTGTTGGTGGGGAAGCCGCAGTCGTGGTGACTGATGTTGTCGGAAGTTGTTGCTCGTGTTGGGTCTCGTCCTTTGGTTCGTCGTCTTTAACAGCAGCTACGAGGAATAAGGCGGTGATCTCAGTCGCTGGTGGTGGTTGAGTCACCTTTGTCGTGACGAAGATACCTTCGCCTCCGATGGATGGCTGCTCCGTGGTTGCGCTTTCCGGGACCACCGCAATGGATTTGAAGGATTGGCGTTTGGGGCACGCCTCCCATTTATTCATGGCGACTTGGAGCTTTTCGTGGGATGTCTTACACTGCTGCAAGTCCTCCTTTAATTGGTCCATGTGGTTTTGCATCCGATCCCAGGACGCGTGACAGTAGTTCCTGATTTGAGCAAGGGATTCGCACAAGGCATTGTAGTCCCCGGGTGAGAGTTGTGACGAACTCAGATCTTCGACCATGGCTCTGATACCAAATGTTAGAAACAAAGTTTCTAACGCGATTGATAATTGGGGATTTAGGGATTTGAAGAATAGAATTAAGGATTAAGAAGTAGAATTTGGGGAAGAACGAGAAAGAATGGTTGACGACCGGATTAGGGATAGAGGAGAAATTGAGAGGAGTTGGGAGGGAATAGGGTTTAGGGAGATAGACTTTTCTTAATTCTTTTATGATTTATCTGAATGGAAACCCAAAGTACATTTATATAGGAAATACCGGAAAACCCTAATAATAACCTAATTCTATTAAATGACTACTAACCTTATTGATAATTATCCTAATAATAATTATATTAATAAATAGAGAAACCCTACAGAAATCGGTTTCTAACACAATGTCTATCCTTCAATTCCACGCTCGTGAAATTGGCTTTCTGACTGTGGATTTTGACTGGTCACGATACAATATTCAGGTTGCTCGCTTGGTGTGCAGGAAGCTTTCAATCGATGATCCAACGCCTTGCACGATGCTCAGAAACACTTCTACTTTCCCCTCCAATCCCTACCTTTCCTCATATGTCTCCCAAACAAAACGAATAAGCCTCCAAAGTAGGTACCACGAACTGTTTCCTAGACTTAACCAAAGTTCCAGGTTCTTCCCTTGCCTTGGTTTCTTCTTTGAACATCAATGGAAATGATTTTGAATCACAATCCAGGATCACATCATCATTCCCTTAGTATAGGAACTCATGTTATTAGCAATTCGGATCAAGGTCTTCATTGCTGGATCTCTAACATCGATTAATTTAAGTGTCGGGGGTGGCGCCTTTTAGCATCCCATTTTCCCGGGGAAAAGGAGCATTGAACACTAACTAAGCAAAACGTAGGTAGGTACACATTCAATTGTGCACTTTCATCAATGAAAGACGTTTACAGTTTTCTCTTTCCCAGTTAACTACATGGATGAATGTTATATCATTCTTGAACCTCACTATTGAATTCTCCAGCCATCCTTGGGGTGCAACTATCCAGCCAGAGGATTGGCATGTATAGTTACATGGTTGATCCTTATCTCTGCTAGAGGTTTGTCCCCTTGCCCTGTTTGTGTCTAGATATAAAACAAAAATCACAATCAATTACTGAGAGCATCAACGGGTTCAAAGCACTGCTAAGAAGATAGGGTGGCAAAGAACAGTGTACATAAGTAATGGTATACCTTTTCCATTATATCAAGGACTTCAAATCCGTGAATTACTTTGCCGAATATAGTATACAACCCATTAAGATGGGGCTGCTTTGCATAGGTGATGAAGAACTGGCTTCCATTCGTATTAGGCCCGCTATTAGCCATTGCCAGCATCCCCCTAGCGTTATGCTGGAAAAGAGGCACATGATATTTTGCAACTATTAATATCATACAGCCAACAGCAGACAGTAACAAAATTTGAACCCAAGGATGTTTCATACAATCATAGGAAGATGGAGAAATTCATCAACAAAATATTTGGTCCACATGCAAAGTCCTGGCCAAGAAAAGCACAGAGATACGGAGCTACGCGTTCAGAGCTTAAGCTGAACTTATTTGTAATGCATGCTTCATGAAGATAGCTAACCAAATATGTTCTCAAGTTACTAGTTAGCACGGCCAACCCTACCCCAAACTTCCCTTATGGAAGGAAAAAATAAAACTCAGTTAAAGTATCATTTCAAGGACAGTAAGCCTGAAAAAAGGAGGACTAGAAGAAGGGGGTTACCAAAGCCATAGGCACAACTGTGCTCCATGGTCACTAAAAAAACATACCTTGAGGGACTCTCTTATCTCGTCATTGAACTTCTTCCCCCAGATACTAGTTCCTCCTTTGCCTGTACCTGTAGGATCCCCACCTTGAATCATAAAACCTTTGATGTTTCTGTGAAATATGGTTCCGTCGTAGTAACCACTACCACATAGTGCCAAGAAATTCTGGGGAAAAGAAGGTGGATGTGAGGTTAGTACTAGCTTATTCCGATAGCTTAGCACACAACAGAAACAAAGAGAAGCATATTGTTGGCCTATCATTCATCCATCTCTCAAACGGGTAAAAAAAATGACCCCAACATAGTATCACCATAAGGGCCTTGCAATGAGAAAGGAAACTGCAGTTTCTTTCTTCCCACTACACCTTTTAACCGAGCAGAAGCAACATCTTGCATTGTTGTTTGAAAAACACATCCACAATGTTAACAAACTCACGTCTTATTATTCAGGCCATCCCTTTGTACTAAACATCAACTACATGAACTACCGTTGTCTCTGTGACATGAAAATCAAATTGTTTCTACCAAAAACAAAACAAAAAATCGAATTGCTCAAATTCTCCTAGGTCACTCACAACTTCATCTCATCGACTTCAATTCGCACAATTAAAACGAGGACAAATTCAGTAGTGAAATTCAATTCTATGGAGTATCAAAGAAAACGAAATCACATGACTCAGACGGGTACCTCAGCTGTTTTGGGCACCTCATCGCAGAAGATCTCGCACTTGATATCTCCAAGATTCGTGTTCAGTGTCACTGACTGCAAAGCAAGCGCGAAAGTTAGGGACGGAATATGCAGAAACATACAGCACAAAATTGTGCAGATAGAAAGACACTAACCATTACGCTCAGTTGTGGATATCCTTGTGCTCCTGTAACCGCGGTATCAGAGTTCAGAATTCGACGATAGCAAAAACGAACTCAGAAGCAACAACTCGGAAAGAAACAGAAATCGGAGCAAGAAAAGCCTGCCTGCACAGTGATTTGCTTCTTCTACTTGATTCCGAAGTTGGCAAAATAAAAACAAAGCAAGAGGCACATTCTTCCGAAGAAGTAAGAAATTCTACAGCGCCGTTGGAATTGTTGCTTACCTGACAAAAAAAACGCAGGATTGGATTGGTCCAAAACCAGCTGCGCCGAAGATTTCAAGAAGGCGGCGGAGGAATGAAAGAGGATGTGTCGGAGATAGGGAGCGGACTGTTGGTGCCTGCAAGACGGTCCGAGAGAGATTTTTCTGGACAAAGCAGGTGTTGTCTCTGCCTAGAAGCTTAGACGGGGAAGGGCCGGCGCGGCGACTCAGCTAGCTCGAGAGTCGAGAGACACTCCGCTTCGTCCTTACAATTGGGCCAGGACTTGTCCAACCAACAGATTTTCGGCAAAGAAGTTGGATCCACGCTTTCGGTCCAGCTCCAATAAATTTGTAAAGTGGGCCAGACCTATTAGGCGGCTGGCTTGAGATACGGTGGTTATTGATCTATGATTAACTAAATTTGGACTTTCATATCTAAGTAGGCCCAGAAAATCTAAATTTAAGAGTTGTGAATTAAAAACATTTTATTTTTTCTAATTTTTTTAATCGGTTCTTATCTTCTTCGTTCTAACTCGGATTTCAATTTTTTTTGCACAGATGTAACGAGTAGGGGTGGGAAACGATGCGGTCCGGTCCAGACCAGACCATAGCTACGGTCTGTGATCCAGACCGAGAGGTTGGAAAACAAACCATGGACCATACCAGACCACACCTCTACGGTGCGGTCCGGTACGGTCTGGACCAAACAAACCATGTTAAACAAAATGATCTCTTATTCGCCCTCCAACCCTTCGCCGGTATTTATAAAAATAAAAATTCTAGTGACCAAAATGCTAGTGAAACAAAAAAAAATTGTGATCGTAATTAAATGAGAACATAAGTGGGTTTAATTTTCAATCACACACATCAAATAGCCTTGTTTCCCTATTCCTCATTGTGCTACCGCTTCTCTCCTCTCTCGAGTGATCCAAAAGTTCTCCCGGTTGATAACCTTTGTGATGACGTTGAGGTAATTTTGAATCACTAAGATGGTCGCATATCTCTTAATAATTTTTCTTATCTCATCAAGGTGAACGAATTTTTATCGACTTCATAGTCTAGACATTGTCTGTGAATATTATTGATAGACCGTTAGTTACACATGTTTTCACCCTTGTTCTTACACCGTTTGAGAGGTGGTTTCTCGTGTTTTAGACCGATTTCACGCTAGGTTGTGCTTGTTTGTGATATTTCAGGTCCTGGCAAGTGAATGAAGGTTTAGGAGCGAGTTCGGGGTCGATTGGGTGAAGATCGGGCGCGAGACAAGTCACGAAGGAGGTCACACGGGCTGCCCTGATGTTCACACGGCCGTGTGAGGTAATGGCCTGGCCGTGCGAGTTTTGCCGAGAGCACACACGGGCAGAGCAGAAGATCGACACGGCCGTGCAAGTGGCCGGGTTGGCCGTGCCACATTCTGCGAGAACAAACACGGGCAAGAGGGGATGTCCACACGGCCGTGCCATTCTGGCCGTGCAAAGAGCCTGGAATTCGAACTAAATGAAACGATGCGTTTTGACTCACACGGGCAACTGGGTGAGCTGCACGGCCGTGCCACCCTGGCCGTGTGAGTCGGGATTTTCTCCTTTTAAGCAGAATTTCAGCCACAATTCGGGGGGATTCGAGTTTTTGAGAGAGAGATCAGTTCCTAGAGAGAGAAAGTGACGAGCAAGAGTTCCCAAGTGCCCTAGATTGATCTTCAACACCATTGGAGGCCAGCTTGAGCTTGGAGAAGTGCCAATCAACGTCCAGAAGCAGGAATCCATCCTTCGCAGTATGAATTCCGTGTCTGATTCTGCTTTTGCTTCTTTCTCTATGGAGTAGTTCTCTCATTCATCTGGGTATGGAGAACCCTAGATTTGTATGTTAGGCTTTGATTGTATGAACCCAAGTACTGATACTGTGATTGATTATATTCGATTGAGGTTTTAATGATTGAATGACTTGAATCCTGATCAAATTCCTGTTGTTTCTGCTTTAACCTAGAATGAGAATATCTGCCTAGGTTAATAGAGTATCCTTGATTGAAGGTAGGGAGTTGGTGACTTTAGTCGAGGAGCCAACTCACTATTCTGTACCGGATTTACTCCGGTAGTGGAGGTTTTGTTCTTAGGGCCTCAATCTGTCGACTCCGGTGGAGGTTAGTCGCCCGCTAGAGAGTCAGATTGAGAGGGTCTGAAGACCTTTAGTCGAGACTTCAGGCTGTTTAAGAACCTTCCGCAGTATAACTGTCATAGAAACTGAACTTGGTAATTACAATCCGGCTTAACTGCAGTCTAGGGGGAACCATATCCGGATGACCTCTCTTAACCTGAATACAACAGTTTACTTGCTTTGTTAGTATGATAGTTTAGACTTGCATGCCAGTTTCATTGCTAGATAACAAGAATTCACTGAGTAGTCATCACATCTAGGACCCGGGTTGATAATTAAACCCAAACCCGCTATACTACGCTTTAGGAAGTAGTTTCACTTGGCCAATTCCTGGAGTGACAGTAGAGTCGAGTCAAGTTTTTGGAGCCGTTGCCGGGGACGGCTAGGTTGTTGAAGAAAAGTGATTTCTGTTAATTTAGCTTTTCTTTTTGCTTTGTTTTCTTTGTCCCACTTGTGCCTTCACGGGTTTGTTGCTTGAGTGTGTGCAGGTAGTGCATGACCCGTAGCCAGTCGGGAGGTTTACTGCCGTTGAATCCAGAGATTGACCGCACCTGTCGCCAGCTCAGGAGACAACAGCGAGCTAGACTGGCTACGGAAGAGCGCATAGACGGCCACCTGAGTAGCGATTCTGAAGAAGAGCACGGAATGGACGGAGACTACAATCAGCACCAGGGGAATCCTCAGCAGGTTCCCCCGGTGAATCAGGTCCTGGGGAACAACCCCATACCCCAGGATCATGGAGTTCATCATCCACCGCAGCCGGGTCCCACATTGGAGTACTACTACACTCCGCGGATTGCTGACATTCGCCCGGTCATCCTCTACCCGCCTATCCCAGCAAACAACTTCGAGATCAAGCCATGCTGGATTCAGCTCATTACATCATCTATCCAGTTCCATGGCTTGAAGAATGAGGAGGCCAGGGTACATTTGTCCCGTTTTCTGCAGCTGACAAACGGGTTCAAGCTGAACGGTGTTCCCGATGATGCGATCCGCCTTCATCTCTTCCCCCATTCTCTGGCGGGGAATGCTAAGAGGTGGTTGGAGACCCAGCCCCCATTGTCCATCACCTCTTGGGACGATCTGGCTGACAAATTCGTGCACATGTACTATCCGGCATCGAAGACTACAGAGATTCAGCGGGAGATCACTCACTTCCGCCAGGAGCCAGATGAGTCACTTCGTGATGCATGGGAGCGGTACATGGGATATTTCTGGCAGTGTCCCCACCATGGCTTCAGTGATGCATTCATAGTGGGGAACTTCTACAGTGCCCTCTCTCCAGATAGCCAGAGGGTGATTGAGTCTCTATGCCCAGGAGGGGATATTCTCACTAAGACTCCACCCGAGCTGAACCAGATGATTAATACATTGGCTGCCAGAGATCATTCCTGGGGGCAGAGCAGCAGAGGCAGACATTCCCGGGACCGTGGTGTGCACGCCATGGAGACCAGATCCGGGCTCGAGCACCAGGTAGCTGAGCTAGTGCAGACATTGAAGCAGCCTAACAGTCTGATTCCGGGCAGAGGTTTGGCTACACCTCCAGTTGCTCAGTGTCAGGGGTGTGAGAGCTCCAATCACCTAGTGGAGGACTGCCAGGCTATGAGGGAGTCTACCACACCCCAGGAGCAGTTGGCCTTCATCGCCAATGTGAGGCGCCTCGATCCATACAGCAGCACATATAATGAGGGGTGGCGCCAGCATCCCAACTTTGCCTGGAGCAGCAACACCACTAAACCACCTGGTTTCCCAGCACCAGCAGGTGGTTTTCAGCAGAGGCAGCCCTTCCAGGCTCGCCAGGGGCCAGACCCACAGCAGCAGCCCTACCAGCCTAGGCAGGGGCAGCCATTCCAGCAGCCCCAGCGCCAGTTTGCCGAGCCAGCAGCAGCTCCAGCCCCCGATGACAGGATGACGAAGCTGGAAAACATTCTAGCTTCATTCATGACGAGCACTCAGGCGACTATCACGAGGTTGGACCAGAGTGTAGCCTCACTGGAGGCAGGTCAGAGGAACCAGGGTGCCATTTTGCAGGATTTGCAGACCCAGGTGGGCATCTTGGCCCGCCAGAACACCACCAGGGCACCGGGGACTTTGCCTGCCACCACTGTCCCGAATCCTCGAGATCCTCATCAGCATCAGCAGCTGGATGCCATTTTTACCAGGAGCGGTAAGACCATATCTGCTGACCCTGTCCCGGCCAGACAGGAGGAACCACTGACTGCTTCAGCACTTCCAGCCGACGATGCAGAAGTGCGGGTGGAGAAGGAAGCCCCTGCTCCCAAGCCACAACCAGTGGTTAAGGAGCATGTACCCCAGCTTCCCTTCCCCACTCGCCTACACAAAGACAAGCTGGAGACTGAGTTTGCCAAGTTCATGGCAATGTTGAAGTAGCTCAACATCAGCATACCGTTCATGGAGGCACTGTCGAAGATGCCCAAGTATGCCAAGTTCATGAAAGATATCTGCACCAACAAGAAGAAACTTGGGGATCTTTCGACAGTGATGCTCAGTGAGGAGTGTTCTGCTATCCTGCAGAACAAGCTGCCCGAGAAGCGCAAGGATCCAGGGAGTTTTACTATCCCTCT